TAAGGCATTTATAAATACGAAAAATTGTCAAATATTTTGTCTAGAAAGTTTCAGTCCTTCACTTACTTCGATTTAAGGCATATCACTTGAAAAATAAATGTTATTGTTTATAATTTGAATTCATTCATAGACTGCATTTCCAATAAATATAATACATTTTTGCAAAAATTTGCCTGTCCATACTGATTTTGACATATGGTATTATGTTCTAATTAACAAAATCTCAGTTGTATGCGATTATATTTTATTCTGTCTTCAGTGACTCTGTATGATAAAAGAAAAGTAATTCACAAAAATCGTGTTAATGCTATATATTAATTTTTTAGTCAAGTCAAGCAATGAAGGTTACAGAAATTTTTCCATTGCGTTAAAGTCTACTTCATTAATTCTCATAAAGTCTTTTTTCGATGAATAATTAATTCAACATATATATGCAAAACAATTCTGTAGTTCATGTAAGACGATTGATTCATAGTCGCATGATTTTTTTTTATTGTTATTCTAATGAATACATCTATCTTCATATACATTCCTCATGTGATTATTATGCACTCTCTCTTCCCTTTACAAGTGATCTTCATAGTTTACGACTGGATCGAGATCCATCTCGTTTTAAGATTAATTATATGATACTAAATGACTTTTGATCAGAAAGTGACCTTACTATTTGGCATTCTTAGTTTCTTTTTACCGTTTTCTATTCATATAAAAGTGAGAATAGAATAGTTAGTAAACAAAAAGTAATGAGAAAAAAATTTAAATTTTCCCTACATTGTTTTGAATAGTTTTGTTTTTAAATAAAGAGTGTTAGACTAGTTTAAAGCTCGTAATTTACTGTCAGATAATGGATTATTGAAACTTCCGTATATCATGCCTTTAAGAAAAATTCAATTCAAGCGGTCAAGTTTTTGCTGCTGGAATGTTCACTAGTGATGGAAGGGTAGACAGAAAAGACCTATTCAAAACTTTATTATTTTGTCTAAAAAATTGACCTTGTATCACCTATGTTAGCAACACAATAGAATAGTGAGCATTGTAGTATGTACTAATTATCCTTAGAAATAAAACTCTTAATGAGAAGTGATGAAGTAAATTTCAGTCCGATTCGAAATCTCAACCTCACAGCAATAATAAACCGATTTTATATTGGTTAAATACGTGTTTATATACATTGTCACTACAAAATAAATATCTTTTTCCATTACAACATTTCCTACAATAGAATTGATACATTTGTATTATTTTGCTTTATATTCATCATAATATCGTCTTATGAGCTTCTGTTTATTTTGTTTTTGTTTCATTATATCACATCTGTTATCGTTTTCCATATCTCTTAGATTTTGTTTACGAAAGCAGTGTTTATTAATTATGTTAAGTTGAAGGTTCTTGTAATATAAAAAAAAAATAAAGGAAAGAAATAAAAATGAATCACTATATTGAAGCATAGATAATATCTGTCCTTCAGTTATTTTTAGACTACCTGTCGTTAGTTCTTTCAAAAAAATATTTGTTTATGATGATTTTAGTTGATAGGTTCCTTGTTCTTTTGCGTTGATATATTCATCTCAATAAACATTATTTTTAATGTACGGGAGAAAAACAAATTATTTAGATGCTACCTTTACATTATTTTAAAACATAGTAGCAATTTCTTGAAGACTTGGTCTTTATTTTTATTTTTATTTTTTTATTAGAATAGTATTGATTTCATTGCTTGAAAACACGAATCAAATAGTCTATAAATATTCATTTATTCAACATTCATTTAAGACTGATATTTTTTTAAAATTAAAATTATACATACAAAAAAAAACTGACATTGACTTTCATTACCAAAGAACAATAAATGCAAAGTTTTATAATAAATATATACATATATTCACAGTTTCATTTTGTTTTTGTTTTTCAAATAAATTTTTTGTCTATCTGACAGTTTTTTTTTCTTCATGTTATTCCATTCACTTGTTTTAAATTTCGATTTAATCTTTATTATCTTTTTCATTTTTAATATTAGTTGAATTCGATTGATTTTGATTCATTTGTTCACTATAATGTCGTTTACAATAGGATAATTTTTTTGCTCGTTTTAAACATTGTTCATGTATACATAATGGACGCCAATGACCAATACCATCATATTGTTCACGATAACCACGTTTATTTAAACGAATTTCATTTCGAACATGAAATATTGATTCAGATTGATCAGATAATGATGATGTAGATGTATAAAGATATGACGGAGGTGGCATTGGAATTTGAGAAACAGCTTGTAAATGATGATAATGTGGTTGATGAAATAGAAGATTTGCTGATAAAATACTATTTGAATTAGTAGATGTAGTGATTGAACTAGGTATTGATGATATTAATGATTGTTGTGGAACTTGTGTAGGAGTTGTTGTTGTTGTTATTAATGATTTTTGTTTTTGTTCCGTATAGTGCTAAATACAAATCAATTTTATTATAGAAGATTACAAAAGAGTATAGAAGCTTCCTCAACTGTTTTATAACAAATAGCCAGCAATAAATACAAAACTAGAAGTTCTAAGTCATTCGAGTTTTCAATTTAAATGACACAGTCATAAACTATTATAACTATATTGCTCAATAGACTAATATTTTTGTTGATCTATCAACACATAAGACTTACTCGTTTACACCAATTGAGTACTTTCGCTCGTTTCATACATCCTTCAATAACACATAATTTTCGCCAATATTTTTTTCCATCGAATCTTTCAAAATAACCTTTTTTATTCCATCGAATTTCATCACGTTGATGAAACGACATTAGTTATCGAAATCTAAAACTTAAAATATTGTCTTCTTTGTTTTTTTACTGCTTAAAAAAAACACTATGATTTAATTGGAAAGAGATTTAAATAAAAAAAAATATAAAATGAGATCACTATTGCAAATGAAATGTTATGAGAGAATATGAAAGACATAATAGATTTAAAATTGAGTATTTCGATTACTGAATGAACTGGTACGAGGTCGAGATTGATCATCAAATTCACTAGAATTTTTGTCACCATAATCTTTATAATAAACTTGTGTACTAAGTCGACGAGGTACTTTAGATAATGAACCATGTTGACGTTTATATTCAGCTGCTTGTTCAGCTAAACGATTAGCAGTTGAAAAACGTGGAATGCTTAAATGTGAAACTAGAAAATAAAGTTTTTTGTAAGACAATAAAAATAATAATAATAAATTTTGAAAATGTATATTTCTTACTATAACCAAGACCTTGAAGAAAAAGTCGAATAGATTCAGCTAATTTTGCTGGTTGTTCAAGTAAAACAGCACCACCACAATCAGCAAGTTCAACATAAGAAGCCATTGATGGATCACATCGATCATTAGTATCCATAACATCTTGTTTATGTGGTGATGAAGATCCAGTAATATTAATTACTGAACATCTATGAAAATAATTCGATTTTGATTTTTTTTTTTTTCTATTACAGAAATTCTACATACTTTAGAGTTCCAGATGGATTAGCCTTTCTACCTGTATCAGCTGGTCGATTGATTGGAAGAGCTGTACGACTAAATAAAAGACACAAAAAAAAACAACAATGAAATTTTTATTTAAACATAGTTTTACGTTAAATATGAATTCAGAAGTTTAATCACATTTTTAGCTTTAACATTTTCTTCTAAATGACGTCGAACCATATTTACCAGATCTGGATCTGATGTCTGTATTTCATAAATTTCATTATTCTTTTTTTATTAATATACATCAATCATACATACAGATCCTAAATTATGCTCAATAAGATAGCTCAGTAATGCTTCTGTCCAATGTTGTTGTGTCACGTCCTTTGCTGTTCGCTATAAAAAATGAACTTGATATATATTAAAAAAAAACGATTTATTTTTGTCAAAATTAAATACTTTAACGGAGAAACTTTCAAGCCATCCTACACTACGTGAAACACAATTAATCAAAATAAGACCATAGATTTTTGTTGGATATTGCAATGCAAAACGAGCCAAAACATTAGCACCAAGACCAACACCAAATCCAATAGCAGATTTAATACTAAAAGAAAACATATTCAATTAACAAAAAATTGACCATGTCCGAAATATTAAGAAATAAAACAAAGACCTACTCTAAATGCACAAATACATCATAAACTGATACAGCTAATTGATCCAGAGTAGGATAAACAAATCTAGAATAAAATCTACTAATTCATAATAATATGAAACAAATTCATACGCAGTCGGTAATAGATTAGCTTGCTCATCTTGTCCAGGTGCATTAATATGATAAATAGTAAAATGTTCAGTGACTGGCATCATTTCTGGAAATGCAAAAAATTGATGAAATTGTGTTGCAGCTTGAAAGAAAAACAATTATTTGTTTAAAATATTTTTTATATAAAAATAAATAAGAAAAACGTACAATTATATCCAACATCATGATAAGTAACAATTACGGGACGATCCGGTGGACCTTGTTGTGTTACTATAACATAACCATATTTTGTTGAAATTGGAATAATCTAAATATGAAATAATATAATGATAATGATATTTAATTAATAAAAATCAAAAATAAACTTTTGGCTTAGTCAATGCATTGTCAAGAATCTCTGGTTGGAGTAAATCATCTTCAGTATCCATGTTTGATGGATCAGTTGACATCATCTAAAAATTACAAATCAGAACACCTACGATCGATGATTATGAAAAAACAGCACGAGACACAAAAAAATGAGTCGAGTCTACATCAAATGAGAATAAGAGGAAAGGAAGGTGAAAAGGTGAACTAAACAGTATGAAAGAAAAAAAATATATATATACGCATATATGATGGATATGAGTTAGAATAAAAACTGGACAGCTATAATAGAATTTGCCCAGAAACAATATTTATTCGATATCTCACGCCATCTTTCGATATTTTATAGTAAACCAATTTTAATGAATCATTTTGTTTTAAAAATGGACGGATTCATAAATAAAAATCAAGATTAAACTACAGTTGATGAATATGATAAAGATCGAGATTGTTGTTCTACACTTAGATCAATATTTTCTTCTAATCTTGACGTAGAATCAATATGATGAGTTCGATGTGATGTTCTCGATTGAATGAGATCATCTTGTGTTAATGAATAATATCTTTTATGTTTGTACAACCAAAACCATAGAGCAATACCAATAAGAAAAAGGATAGTTGTTGTTAGTAAGAAAGTAGGTAAAAAATATTTTTGAAATTGTTGAAATTGTTTATTAATCATTCGTTGATGATTAATTAATGATGCAGTTATTTCGTCCGTTAGAATACCATTATATACTTGAGGATAATCAATAATATGATTAGAATCAGTATAAAATTTTGTTTCAAATGAATAACGATCAGGTGGACAGCAAGAACGAGAAGTATCTGTCCCACAACAGAAATATTGGATTGAATTTTCAATTGGACATGCAAAACCTGTCAAACAAAAACATTTTATCAAAGTTTTTTTTTACACATACGTCAGTGTTCAACGATCTGTTCTAGTTCGATTTACACGTATTTATAACATCAAATATAGACTTATCTTTACAACTAACCATTATTCCATGTTCCATGTGCATCAATAAATCCGCTACAAATAGTATTGGGCGTTCTATCAAATGCCAGTTTTGTTGCGCTTGTAGTAGTAATTGCCATAGTTCTGATCATCATTCTTCATTGTGTAAAATACTTTGATAATAGTACAATTAGCATTTATAAGAAACATATGTCAATAAGACATTGAAGAAAAGACAAGAATAAAATCAACCTTCAATATGTTATTTTGTATGATGATGAAGATAAGCCAAAGATAAAGAATTACAGATGAACTAGAAATAATGGAAAGGAAATCTCATCTGTTTAGTTAATATTTCTCTCGTATGTAGACTGATGACATTCTTCTTTATTTATAAGAAAACACAGTCAGTATGATGTATCGATAAATATCTTTTTGTCTATCTTATTTCATCTGAATAGGAAAAGAGCTTGTCATACATGATTATCACTAATGTATTATAAAGGAGATGAATAGGAATAGTTACATTAATCGATAATGTCATCGAAAATCATAATGAAAAATGAAATATTCCAGCCACACGTAGTATAACTCATATGTTTTTTTTTTCGAATATCTTATATTTCTATAAAAATGAAAGGCAAAAATATATAGAAACATATACGATATTTTATTAGTAAAATAGTTTCAATTTTTTTTTATTCTTTAAAAACTTGTTTGATCCATAATATTGTCATCATCATCATCATCAACTGTTGTTTCTGGTTGATTTGAATATGTTGGATTAGCATATGCCACGGGTTCCATATGATTAGATGGAAATGTAGTAGTATTATTAGGTACAAGAAAAGAGACACTCGAGTTTGGATTATTTGTATCAGTATTATCAGCTAATAATTTCTTATTATCAAGTGCATCTAGTTCTTTACGTGATAAATGATTTACAACGGCACAACCAATCGAATCACCAAATACATTAATAGCAGTACGAAATCGATCACTAAAAATGCATAAAAACATATTTATTAATAATACAAGACTATGATAATAAAAATTTATAAACATACAGGAACCAATCAACAGCAAAGATTGTTCTAACTTCTTCAGCTGGTAAACCAAGTGCATTGAGGACAATAACCATTGTTACTAGACCAGCTTGCGGAATACTTGCAGCACCAATGGATGCTAATGTCGATGTAAAACTAAAGAATATTACAAAAAAAAACAATATACATACATATATATATATATATTCATAATTTTTGAATTAATATCTATTTACGTAGTTACAATAATTTTGGCAGCATTCAATGGAATACCATTAAGTTGAGCTATATAAATAGCTGCTACAGCTTCATATAATGCTGTTCCATCCATATTAACAGTAGCTCCAACTGGTAAGACAAATCGTGAAACTCTTGGATCAATATGATTTTTTTCTTCAACACATCTATATGTTACAGGTAATGTTGCTGATGAACTAGCTGTACCAAAAGCAGTTACTAGTGCTTGACTCATACCACGTATATATTTAAAAACATTCATACGTGTTATAATAAAAAGAATTAAAGGTAAAATAATGAATCCATGTATAAATAAACCAGCTAAAACAGTTGCCATATAAAGACCTAATGAACCAACAAAATCACTTAAACTATCCATTTGAAGTATTTTGGCAACAATAAGAAAAAAAATACCAATAGGACTAAATAACATAGCAATACGTACAAGTTGCATAACAACTTCTAACATAGCTTCAAAAAATTGTTTAAGTATAAGTGCTTTTTTTTTTAAACGACTTATAATAATACCAAATAGAATACAAAATAGAAGTAAACCAAGTACATTAATACCATCTCGTTTTTCTAGTACGGCATTGTAGGTAGTTTTGTTATAAGCTAAATATATATAATGTCTTTTATTATTTTTTAATTATTAAAATTAAAATATTACTTGTATTATTTTCACCCTGAACTAATTGTTTTTTGACGGTAAGTTTCGTACCTGTCTAATAATAAACTGAACGAATATATACGATTAGTTTTATTTTGAATACTCACAGTTTGAAATGCAGCTTGTACAATATTATCAGGAAATAGATTTCTACAATGTCAAATTTAACAAAATAATAAATTATAAAAACCTATTCTTTATAGATATTTTTACCTGATTAAATCCAGAATAGTATCAACAGTTCGACCTTCGACTGATCTTGATTCTGGTTTGATTTCAACTTGACCACCACGTAATCCAGGTTGTATACTTAATACAAGAATAATACCAACAATAGCTGCAATAATAGTTGTACCAAAATAATAGATCAATGCTCTTAAACCCATTTTTCCCGATGATTGTGCATCGAGTTGAGCTAATGATGAAATAATACTTGAAACAATCAATGGAAGTATCAGTAATTTAAGTATATGAATAAAGATCGTGCCTGGAAATTCGATGTATCCGATATCTTCTTTAGTTAAACGACATCCATTAATATATTCATCTATGACAAAAACAAAGTCATAGAAAAAGAAATTCTTGAAGAACTGAGTTTTTTTTTTCTTTACCTGTGCTACATTTAAGATTTCTAAGACCAAGTCCAACTCCAATACCAATCACAACTGAAGCAATAGTAGTTATGAGTAAAGCTTGTTCTTTAAGACTTTCTTTTGAACAACATCGTTGACAAAAATTGCGTTTTCGACTATTCATCTCATGTGTTGATAATGGTATCTCAATAGTATGATGTGATTTTTTATTAGAAGATAATATTGCACGAGAATTATTTTCTTCTCGTGTTTCCGATGTGACCAATGGTGTCACACTTCTTGCAGATTTTTTCTTGAAAAATTTCATTATCTATTTAGAAAAATCAGTACACCAAAAAATCTCTATAAGATTTGCTTTTAACATACTTTATTATTTTAAATAAAAACATAAATAAAAGTTTTGTGTAGGTTAAGTAGTATGGACGTTACAGATAAGAAACGAGTAACGTCGTCTGTGTTAGTAGAAGAGTAAACAAATAGTGTAAAAAATAAAACAAAGATTAGAAAGACGTACTTATCTTTTCAACAGTTGTTTCCAAGAATAATAATCACATCATAGATAAAAATTATCCGCGAAATATGTGTTTCGTAATTTAATGCAAAATTCATAAACAAAATGTAAGATTACCTCTGAAAATACATGTATTATGAAATATTTTATTAAATTAGATAAATGAAAAGACGATTTTTATCTTTTGTGTTTGTATTGAAAATGCTGACATGATATTTATTGATGTTTTTTTGTTTGTTCTTAATCTATTTGAAAGAGCATCAATTCACCTCGACAATGGCAACAAGAAGATGATCAAGTTTTATTCTTATTGATAAAACCCATCAATCTTTCATTATTTCATAAGGATAAATGTCTTTCGATGTTTTAGTCCGTATGATCTCTCTTCAAACACACAGTACGAATGTTAATTGATATAAGAGATCTCATTGATTTAAAATTAGAAATGAACTTAAGCGCAATTATACTTTCGTTACAGTTGACTAAATTTTGAATACGCCAATCCAATCATGGCTCGATTGAAGGGCGAAAAATATGCATATACTTGTATAAGTATATGAACATAAGTGATGTCGCTCAAATGTACTGCTTATTTTGAACGTATTCAATAGATTCGGTAAATCTTGTACTAGGTATGTGTTTCTGAAGTATCTATAGATAAATTGGCAATAACACGACCAGATCAATACCCTAAATATTGATTCACACCATGGTAAGTTCCTCTTTTCAGAAAATTCAAATAAATTGAGTTTGAGGAAATTTTCCTGGAAATTCAAGTCAAAAGTTTTCCAAATAACTACTGTCTATTAATTTGGATATCAAATGCTCACAACTTATTTCAACATCTATGCATTTGGGTTGGATGAGGAAATTCATTTTAACTTGTAAGTAAGTATCTATATTTATTTGGATGGGGTTGGGTTGAGTGAAGAAATTCGTTTTAACTTCAAGTGACTATTTATTTTTATGTCGGTTGGGTGCAACCAACCCAACCTAAATAAATATAGATACTCACTTACAAGTTAAAATGAATTTCCTCACCCAATCCAACCCTACCAGATTATATACACTTTCTGGATACACTATCTATCTGATAGCAATCACTGAGTGGGAGCTGATGAGAGTATGTGGGTAGTCATCATTTGGTTTGGTTAATAATCTTATGCTTGGTTTGAGTGGCTTCAAGCAGTTTAGAGTTAGAATAGAAAAAGATTCTCTTTCATTATGTGTTTGATTTACTATTCATGTGATGAAATTTGAATTTCCTGGAAAGAGAAATTTGCCATGCCCTCTATTGATCCATTATTTTTAGACAATCTTGTTTTTTCCTTTTGTAAATATGACTATGGTAAATTCTTTGATAATACACATTTGCTTGAAATAATTGATGAAGAAGCTGTCTCTTCTGATTTCATTCATAACATTATTTTAAATAAGTTAAATTCTTATTTTAAAACACGGTTTTATGTATTCTTTCAATAACTGTTGCACTTGAATAGACTTATGAGACAAAGATCAGGAATATACTAGATTCGAATAGACTACTCACAAAGAAGCTACCGAGACCACAAAACCTTGGTCCCACATATGTCTGGTCTTCAGTGAAAACAGATATCAAGCTGTTTTATTTCTTTAATTTATTTGAAAATTACAAAAGATTAGATATCAAAACTAGTTGCGACAGCACAGAGAGTAAAGGAAACTGAGTTCTCTCGGAAAGTTTTAAAACTTGTAGCTAACAGTATTTGCACAGAAGAGCTGAGGGTAGAACCCATCGAATTCGGATCTGAAAACTTTGAATCGATGAGCTCTATCCTACACATTTCTTAAACAACTCGTCTGAAAAACGTATACAGTGCGCTAGTCGCCAAATACAAAAAAGTGAAATACAGTTCGAACGGTTTTGGGCTCGAAAAATTTTCATTCGACGTGTTCTAACTGAGGTAGCTCAACCTTGTCTGAATAAAAAAAAACCGTGACACCACCACTAATTAAAATGTTAGTTTGTATATGAGAAAATATTTTGAATTGATTGCAAAAGTTAGTACAGCTATTTTGCTTAATTTTAACACATAATTATGTAGTGATATGATAAATAGAGAGATAATTATAATAGAACGGCAGATATGTATTTAATAAAAAGGTAAAAGTCATACGTAATTGCTTAATGATTCATTCATTTCAAGTTAAATAATTTAAAAAAATTGATTTATTTATAAATAGAAAAAAAAAAGAATTAATTAATTCTTAAGTTTCGACATATCAGGTTTAAGTCTTGGATTTTGTCCACCAACATGTTCATCCCATCCTTTTCGACATGTACGAATAATCCATTGATGTTCATCATCATCTATTATTATTATAAAAAAAAAATTCATGTATAGAAAAAAACAAAATAAAATCCTAATTCAATTTCTTACCAGCATTTCTCACAAATTCTCCATTATAATCAGTAACAATACGAGATGTTGGATTATAAATTCCATCACCTACATCATAACAATCATGAGGAATAACTTGAGGTGGTTCATTATCTTTTAATTGAGATCGTCCAGCTGGTTTTAAACCATGAAGAGTTTCAGTATAAAAACGTCTATCATAACCATCACAATATTTCCAATCATTAGCATCATATGTTAAACCATCTGGGAATGTATATTGACCCTAAGAAAGAAATATTCCAAATATTAAAATATAAAAAAAAAAACAAATTTATTTCCCTACTTCTTTTGCTACACCTTTTTCCCAAATAGCTTCATATTTAGCACCATTGGCATAATGAAGAATACCATGTCCATGAAATTCACCATCTTTGAATTCACCTATATAAGTAGTACCAGACGGAAAAGTAAATTTAGCATTTCCTTCAAGTCTAAATTTACAAACAAGAATATTTTCTTTTTCATAAGTCTTTCTTTTTTTTTGTTTCTTGATTTTCTACCTTTCATTTCGAATTTCTCCATCATAATTACTATCTGTCCAATAAGTTTTATTTATATTTCCAGTTGATGTTGTCATTATTAAATAAAACAGTTTTTAACCAAAAAATAAGTCTCATCGTCATTTTCATGTTTCTTTACCCTAACAACAGACTCTGATTTAATAGATGTCGTCATCAGATTTCCATCAAAAGTGATTCATCGGAAACCAGCTGCCTGCTTGTTCTGTTGTTTCTTCCGTTTAAATTTTTATTTTTCGAATTAAATTTTCAACAATGTCCAATACTGAGGAATCATCTGATCGTCCAGTTGATGATCAAAAAAAACCACATGAAAGTCATCGTCGTTCGAATTCATATGATCGAGCTATCTCCGGTGAAAATCCAAAAGTACATGATTCAATAGTGAAAAATCCATCCCCTGCATGTGATAGAAAATCGCTCGAAACTAAACAAATAGATAATGATACATATTTAATTAAATGGATTGAATTTAATCATGAACAAGTACCTATTCTTCTACAAAATCTAAATGGACCTTGTCCACTTCTTGCTATAGCAAATATTTTACTTCTAAGACAAAGAGTAAAAACAAAAACTACTTTATTGTTTTTTTAATTGAAATGATCAGATGACTTATATTTAATATAGATTCGTCTCAATCCTAATGCAGGTGCAATCAGCACAGAACGTGTTATAGCAATGATTGCTGAATATATACTTCAAATTGATACAACAGTAAATGATTATTAAAAGAAAGAAAAACATATTGTCTTTTTATTTTCAATTTCTATTAAGAAATATTCCAATGAATATCGTGCTAATTATGAGCATAATGTTGCAGAAACACTTGCAATACTTCCTAAATTTCAAACAGGATTAGATTTTAATTTAAAATTTAATGGGTAAATAGAACATATTAATTATTTCGAATAAGATTGATTGTTATGTTTTGTTTGTATTTAGTGTTGATAAATTTGAATATACCAAAGAATGTATTGTATTTGATTTACTTGATATACAATTATTTCATGGATGGGTTATTGATCCACAAAATAATGAATTACAAAAGATTGTCAATGCCAATGGATCAAGTTATAATCAATTAGTTGAAAAAATGATTCAACAACGACAGTCTAATAACGAAGAACTTAAACAAGAAAGTAAAATAATTAATTATTTTCTTTTTGATGTAGAAAAAAAAAATTAGAATATAATTATTAAGGTTATTTAATTGAACAATTTCTTGAAGAAAATCGTTCACAATTAACGCATTATGGTATACTTCAATTAAATGAAACCATGCGAGATAATCAATTAGCGGTTTTCTTTCGAAATAATCATTTCAATACAATATGGAAAAATAATGTAAGCTATTTTCTAGCTTTGATCTAATCAAGATTTAACAATAGAGGTTTCTATGTTTAATAATTAAGAAAGCTAAGAAATATCAATGAATTGTTCAACAAGAAAATATGTCTATCTTTAAGGCTTAGTATACTGTGAATAAGTGGTTGATGATTGATATCACACTTTTATTGACTGAGAAAATTTATCTTGTTATTCTGCTTGCTCTGGAAAAGGCTAATAGATTTTCATTCCTTCTCTTAACATACATATATTTGTGAAGGACGATCTAAAAAAAATGTTAAAATATATAGGATAGAAATTTGGATTCCTCCTCCTACAAACTATGACAGAAGCTAGCCAGAAACCTTCACAGATCATGACATACGCTATTGATGTACGATCACGGACCGTATAGCAATAATGGCTCGTTACAATACATTAACTACTTTCTTATTGCATTTCTGAAGGATTCAGTAAAAAGAGCATGAAGGTATGTGTCCCAAGATATATAGAATAAAATAATATTCCTAGGATGAGCAAAAGTAACTATACTGTATTCCACATGTTAATTCAGTCAAGGCTGCACTAACAGTTTTTTGTTAAATGGAGTCTCCTCGTCTTACTTTTAGACAAAACTGACAATGATACAAGAAATTTTCGAGCTTAGAACTTATTCTAGAAAAAATGTAGATGGCTGAAACTTTAGCTTTTGTTTCAAGAAGGAGTTGACCAGGATTTTTTTTCTGTATGGTGGAATTTTACTTAAAATATCATTGAAATAGTCGGTAAAATAATTGAAAAGTCAGTTTTCAAAAATTTGAAAAAAATGTAAAGCTTCATATGAACACAGTATGATTCTTATGTTGTGTAACCGAGTAGATGTTAATAAAGCCTTGAGCAGTTGACTTAACTGTATTGCAGCAAATGAATCACTATATATGTATAGGGAATAAGAGAAAAAACTCATAATAAGGAATATCCCGAAGGCAATGATGCATAAGAAGATTAAAACACATGTACAATATTCACAAGAGAACAAAGAATAATCCATAAAACTAAAAAAAAAGGACTGGGTGATGTTATTAAGCATATGAAAATGAAGAACAGTTCACAATGGTAAAAATCAAAATGCAACTAATTAGCATTTTTTCGAAGAACTACAAATGTTAGCACGTTGCTTGTATGTCTATTCGTTTGAAATGTCGTAAGTCACCAGCAACATAAAAGCTATTACTGATTGCTAAGAAAAAATAAACAAATACTTTTTTCCATCGGTCTCAGTCAATCTCTGCTTCCAGTGTAGAGAAAACTATTGTAGAATTTATTCATTTCATATCTTAAAAGAATCCTTCAAATGCTTGTTTTTCAACTTAGTCAATAACTAGCGATCTTTTTGATTATCGCTCTTGAATTACACTCTGATTGATGATTGATAAGATAACGCGCTTAAAACCAGAGGATATTTAACTATAACCTTTAATTCCAGTCGGAACAACTTTTTTCTCATCGTCCTGAGATTAATCTCAATTATTTCTCTGTTCTATGGCTTTGCACATCTCTGCTACTGATCGTACAATATTGATACTGATCATATACATATTTTGTTTGTACTGACTATGTCATCTATTTTATCGACCAAGTATTATGTTATCTTTTATTTAATTTTAGAAACAACTACTATTACTTGTTTCTGATGAAGGTTTTGCCAATCATAAATCAATTGTTTTTGAAACATTGACTGATGTTGATAATGATAATTCATTTACTGATGGTTATGGTCAAAACTGGCAAAAACCAGTACCGGTGGATGTATCTCGAGAGTCTGTTTGATCTATTTACAGAAAAAGTGTTAATTTTTCGAATTTCATATATATTTAGTCGTGATTTGGCGATAGCTATTCATAATGAAGAACGACGGCAATATCATGAAGTGCAAACAAGACAACAACAACAACAACAACGACAGCCACAGGAACGATATTCTCAAGAATATTATGATGAACGACGTTCAGAAAAAACTAAAAAGAAACATAGAAGACCATCGCATGACAAAGAACATAGCAGTTCTTGTATTTTATCATAGCCTTATTTTTATACGAATTCCATTTTTTAGTTTTTCGTACACGTGTGTATTTCCAAAATTCAATTTAAAAAAAAGCTACAAATTCGATGTACAATAAACACTGATATGACTATTAATAACTTTTTTTTTTATTTACAAAGATGTTCAAATTCATTAGGAAACATATAATAGGATGATGATGTTGATGTTGAATTTCGATTATTTGCTGTTGGATAAAGATTAAGTGGTGTATTAAATACTGTTGATGTATCTGTACATCGTGATTTAGTATCACTTGGTGTACTACTTATTGTTGATATACGATTTGATACAGATCGATTATGTTCAATTAAAAGTGGTACACTAGCTGGTACAGGTACTTGAACAATAGGTATTCTCTGTTGTTGACGTTGTCTATTACGACGAATTGATGTTAAACATTGACAAATTATAACAAACATGAGTAAAATAATGGCAAGAAATATAGCAGCAGTACATATTTGAAAGAAAAACCATTTTTCAGAAAGAAAACTATTAGATGTATGAAAAACTAAATTCTCCGATGATTGATATGAAGTTTGAGATAATGAAGATGATGATCTAGATGGAATACAACAATAACGATCCGTTTCCGTACCACAACAAATTCGAGGTGATGAACAATCAAAACCTGCAAAATAATCAAAATGAAATGTGAAATGTTTTATTCATTCGATTAAAAATTTAATGATTATCAAGTTTATTTTTAGTTTTTTTGAGTGTTATCAATCTAAGAAACGATTAGAATAGTCAATGTAGTTGTAACGAAATCAGCACGAAGAACGTAAGAAATTATTTCATAGTCAGCAAGAACATTTCAGGAATGTGTCCTTCCGTTTATCAGTTAATATCTTCTAGCAATGTGTATCGATAATGAAGAAAAGGTCTTTGTCGGGATGTATTACGATACTTAGAATCTTGAATAATAAGAAATTGATCATTAAACTTCTTAAAAACTATCCTGAATAGTTATAGTCAGAAAAGTTCATTCGCTTTCTTTTCTATTACAAACAAGAAAACTTAGAGGTTTGATTTTCTTTACAGAATCTTAGAGTAAAGATAAATTCATATTTATCGAAATAAAAAGAAAATATATATATAAATTTTCAATACCATTATTCCATATTCCATATCGATCGAGAAAACCAGGACACGAGGCAGTCATCATATCATTGATTAATTATCGTTAAAAATGAATATACGTATATATATATAGAAGAAGACTAGTTGCAGACGTTTATTCGTTAGTTTTTCTATTACGATCAAAATGTTCTGTCTGTCATCAGACAACAAGAAGTGGCAATGGTAAAAAAGAGTTTGTGTTTCTCTCTTATTCTATCAAATCAGATAAGTGAAAGGAAAAGAATATAGCATTATTTTCTCTAAAGAAAGAAAAGAATGATTAATCATAAATAGTATAGACGATGATATCGTTCAGTCTCGCGGCTCAACTTCACGAAAGTTGATTCCATCTGGCATTACAGATAATTGATGAGCTGAGAGACTCACACATACATATAGATAGAAGAGTAAACGAACATTTTCACTGTTTATAGAATCATCATAGTAAAATACAGACATGTCAGTTTACATTTTTCAATTAGACAACGACGAAGACCAGGCAATATATTATCGACAAAGAGACAACTTATGTTAAGGATCATTAACTATATTGATAGTTGACTAAAAAAAATTGCTGATTTACTTTCTATGACCTTCTCATAATGGAAAATTCTTCAACGATAAGAATAATTGTAGTTAGATATCTTTTCGAACATTTTTTTTCTTCTTCTTCTATGATAATATTGATCTTTCCTTTTTTCCTTGCTTTTTTTTTTTATCACTAAACTATCTCGAATATCTTGTCTATTTATTTATCTATGTTTACATAACTATCAATTTTACACATTAGGAACAACAAAAATAAGTTATGTATTTTTATGTCTCGTCAGTTTTATATCTCATTTATGTGAGTTATCATTACTGTTATTGTTTATTTATTGTACAACATATATCAATCGATGCATAGTTAGAATGATGTTACACAGATAATAATTGTTATGGGATTTTTTTTTTTTTTTTTTTTATGTCATCATAACATTCATTATGTTTTATAGATATATATATATATATATATATATATATATATAAAACAATTAATTAAAGATATTTTTTAATAAAATTTAGTTTAGTTAAAACTGATGAATAAACTCCAGGTTGTATTGTTTCTGAATTAACACCATGTGATGTAACACCAAATAAATACCAACGATTATCTGTCTTGTTAAGTATCATTAAAGGACCACCACTGTCGCCTTCTATAAGAAGAAAAAAAAAACAAAGAGATTAAAAAACAATAAAGAATTCGATAAGATTATGTAAGATGTTTTTTGTTTGGTTGTAGACACAGTAAAGAAAAAAAAACAATTTCTATGTTATCATAAAATAAATGTTTACTTTTCGATTTAAAACTATCAAAAATATTTGAAAAGAAACTCAAGTTGTTTTCTTTATCAAAAAGAAAACAAAATAACTGGTGATAATGGTCAATAGAATTGAATTTCAAGTGCCAATTCATTTCCTAAAAAGGTCTACCAGCTCAATGAATTTCATCTAATCGAAAAGGTCCAAATTTAATTAAAAAAAAAATTTAAATCTTGAGCGTTTACACTTAAACTTGAAAAATATATTATTCATTTTTATGAATATATATAAGTTCATAAATTTAATTCGATTCGAATAATGATCATTAAAAAGCAAAACAAATTTAAGTAAATAAAACAAACCCACCTCTTGAATCTACATTATCATGTGTATTTGTTGCACATATTTCATCTTTTTTATCAAATGATTCAAGAAAATTTTGACAATAATTATTTGATTTAACATAAACTAAACCTTGTTTTAAATGAAATGAACCAAATGCATTTAATCCACTTGTTGGATATTTTCCTCCCCAACCTGCGATAATAGCTGTTGTATCAGGTATTATTTCTTGATCTTTTTCATTCGGTAAACATATTGAATTTATCATATCAGAACGTTGAAGTTTTTTTTTAAGTTTTATTAATGCTACATCATAATCACAACATGATACATAATTTGGATGAATAATTACTTTAGAAACAGAATAATGATTAAATAGATTAAGACGACCCAATAAATTTGCAGCACCAGCAATAACAGTTACATATTTTGGTGGATCAACCATACAATGTGCAGCTAGAAAACAAAAATTTTTTGTTTTAACGAAAATTTTATACGATTGATATATGTATAAATTTTTACCCGTTATTATTGTATCCGATGAAATAATTGTTCCACCACATGATTTTAATGATTTAAGATTGATAACATTAACTACCCATGGAAAAGAATGATCCGCTGCTGATATACCACCAGTTACACGTGGTTTATCCATTTTAGTTGGTAAAATTTGTTGTATAGCTGATTTACCACAATCAAATGCATGTCGAGATTTATTTGCACTAATTTTGTCTTGAATTTTATCTCGAATCCAACTGAAAAAATGATTTTCAACTGGTTGTATACATAATATTAAACATAGAAAACATATAAGAATTAATATTTTCATTCTAATAAATGAATACACTTTATATGTCAGATGAACTTTATATGTTTGTCTGATTGAAATAGATGCACAGAGTATACCTGTTCTCACTTGAAGGTTAGTTTAAATGTTACTTTTTTTTTCTTCGTCGTTCTCGTTGCCCTTCATTGAAACATTGTATTGGTTCGATAAGACAATGAACAAAGAACAAACAGTCAAGGCATATGACATGAGCAAATTTTACTTTCCTTTTGTTACTACAATTGTATAAATGTCTATAGATTTGAAATTATTGTAGAATTGTTGAGGTCATGATATCAACATTGAGATGTATTGATGTTATCGTTTGATATATTCGATGGAAAATGAATGGGTGATGATTGTCTTCATTTGATGAGATTTTAATAGAATGCACATGAGTATTAGCTGCTAGATAAAAATGTTCAAGAAGAAGGTATTTTTAACACAATCTGAATTTGTTATTATGTATTTGAGACGGAAAGTTTTATTCAGATTGCATGCATTGTTTAAATAATAAAATTTGATAGTCAATGATCTTACTAAATTAGTTCATTTTTTTAAAATTAATGCAGATTTATAAGTATAGAGTTCATCAGGATGAGATAAAGTAATTGATGATTATTTGTATTTATTTGTTTTTTCGAATAAGATACAAAATAAAACTAAACTAATTAAAGTATGAAAATTACAGAAAAGATGGTGGATTTCAACTGAATACTGTTCCAATATAAATAGAACAATAAATGATTGATAAAGAATCCAAAAGAGAATATCTAACATGAACAAAGTTTGATAATTTCATTTGATATCATTTTAGCAACTGCAAGTTTCACAAATTGTTTGTCTTTCGACATATATTCGAATATTTTCTCACATATGCATCTTACGAAAATCGGATATGATTAAATAATATTCGTATTGTTTCGTCTATTTAGAAGAAAATTTTGAATTAATTTCAATTGAATAATCATGAACATTTGCATGTTAAATCCACACGTTTATAATTGATTCAGTGTTTGGAAAAATATCGACATTGAGTCGAAAATTATTGGAAAATCAAATTCTCTTCTATTCTATTGATTTTAAAAATATCCTTCTAAAACTAATGTCAAATTTTAAGATTTAAAACATAAAAAAATTAATTATGTCTTTCGTCTTCTATGAAAATGAATACCAATTAATAAAACATTTGATTTTCTCATAATTAAAATTTTATTTCATCAGAAAGTATTTTATTCGACTTGATAATATTCAAATTTTCAATCAAACTATAATTTCTTTTGTTAAGTTGAAACAGAAACCGTGTGACTAAATAAATAGGTTAAACAATTAGTGATCTGCAAAATGACCTTTTTCTGGTCCCGATCTCGGTCTCGATCCCGGTGTTTGT